CCTACTCACACACCATCCATCCTGAGCTGTTCTCCTCTACCGCCCCTATCCATCCCTGGATGGAAGTGTTGTACAGCTGCTGCCTACCTGATCTTGTGCTATTCCATGTGCTCCGAAGAGGCAGATGTAGCTGAACACAGAAAAAAGGTTAATCTTACATGTACTGCATTATCTGTTTAAAACAGGCTAATTAGCATAGTATGTAATTAACTGGTGAGCAAGACTATTACTGTTCTTTACACTAGAAGAAAAATCCTTATGAAGTCTGCTTATCCTTACCTGGAACAGTTGTGATGGGAAGCATAAGCCACTTGTAACTTAGCACAGGGAGACTCTGAATTTAAAAACTCACAAGGTGGAAAATACCTCAGCTGATAACTCATAGTGTGTAAGTTCATGGTTTGATATCCAGCCGCCCATGTTTGCAATGCTTTCCCTCAGAAGAGGGAGAGATTATAACCTGTCCTTTCCAATATCTTTCTAGAATCACCTACTTCTGATACCCACCGGAAGTGTATGTATGTGCAGTGTTCCTGATCAGTTTACTGACCTTGTCCCCAGTGCCAGCAGTGTGTGTTTAAGGGACCCCAGCTCTTTCATTTAACATATTTTTTAAGAATTTGGGTTAGGGATGTGGGTCCCTTACTGAGCTGGCTTCAGAAGAGCTGCTTTTCTGTTCAGTTGCCCTATTGAACAGTTCAGGACAGCAGTTACAGTGTTTACAGATTCCTCCAAAACATCTATAGAATGTATAATAGAAGAATTCTAGAAGAATTTATAAAGTCAGGATTATCTTTACTGTGACGCTCTTACAGCACAGAACATTGACTTGTATAAAAACATGGGAGGCAGAAACAATCCCAGTATGTAGGGAATTATGTTTTACTACTAGAAATACTACATTAATTCTTAAATTTCAACTCTTCAACTTCTCAGTGTTTTTGGGGAGCAGACAATAATCCTAAAGAATGAGGAAAACAGGGTTTGAGGCGTTTTTTAAATTGGTATGTTCATAACAGAACTATAGCAGTATTGCCTTTAAAAATTGACACGAATATGAATGATATGAATGATGATTAATCCCTGCATCTTGTCTATGCACAGAATGAAAACAAATGCAGGTAAAATATTCAGAAACCCCAAAATCAAATTAGGACTGTAAAGTGTGCAAGCAAAAAGGATGAATAAAGGACCGAGTGTGAACTAAAGCTTAAGACCTAAGAACTCCAAAGTTTTTATTGATGTGACAACATCTGTTTGAAGAAAAATAAAGTTAATGAAATTTACAAGATGATAAACTTCCAAGCTTCCACAGATTTCATAACAAAACACATTCATGAATCAGTGAACCACAGCAATAGTAAGGCCCTACCAGTTTTGCAGACTGATTTAAACTTGGAGCAGGAAGGAGGGAGGGCACTTTGATTCAAGTCAGATGGGCTAGGGTGTCAAATTCAATGTTCTGCTCACTTTGTAAGTGTAGGCATTTGTATTTGGATGGGCATTTAACTAGATTGTGGTAGCTTTACATTAAGCCAAACCACCAAAAATTGGGCAATAACTGAGGACGGGAAAAGAAAATCTAAGTAATACTAGACTTTTTTTTTTTTGTTTTGTTAACAAAACCAAGGGCATACTGAACAAATCTGAGAAGCATTTCCAACTGTTTGAAAACCTGCAGGTAAAACAGTATCCAATTCAAGGCATGAGTCTGAGCCTTTTAATGGTACCTGGAAAAATTCTCTCCATCTGTTGAGATTAGGATTTATGTTCTAGCCAGTGGCTTAATGGGTCTGCAATTTCCAAGCTCTGGAGTCACATCTGATGCTAACAGCATCTTCATCAGTGGTGGAGGTAGCGACAGCTGAAGGAACAGGCTGTGGCCTTTCCAGTGGATTTTTGAAGTTTTGTTTCTGAAATGCTAAATTCCATCCTGGGCTTTTTCATCTCCACCACAGGTGCAAAAAACCAGTAATGCTAATTCCAGCAATCCCGATCCTATTTCATATGCAGAAATTAACCCAAAGGCAAGTAATAAAAATGCATACATCATCCCATTCAATTATTCAGCAGTTTTGCAGACATACCAGAAAAAAACCTAGCTTTCAATATAAAAATTGTCTATGAAACAGTCTAACTTGAATTTTTCTCCATGGATCATAATTCCACATGTGCTGCTGGATCTGTTGAAGAGGAGAGAAAAATGATCATTCTGTTTCCAGCTGCCTCAATTGGCAGATTGGTTTGAAAATTAGTACATAAACCCCAAAGACTTGTGCTTTGCAAGGTTACCAGTGACTGAAGTACAATTCATACCCATTCTGTATACAGGCACTTTAATTAAGGGTTAAGATAAGGCCAAGGCCATAAAATTGCAGGAACAGTGAGGGTCTTTAACAGAACTGGAATAAGCATACAATATAACTCTCTGTTCTGGAGGTTTCAGAAGCAGGTGAAGTTATACTAGCCTTGCTCACTAAGGTCTTTCTGTCCTATTAAAATACACATTATTTAACAGCTCGTCCATGCAAGCCTTTGCATGGTGCAAGCTTACAGTGAGCAAGTATGCAACTTAATACTACTCCAGAGAGATAGGAAAAAACTCAAAGTAGGGAAACAGCCTGAAAGATTACCATGTGTGTGGTGTCCTGGCATCTCAGCTGGTATTCCTGTTTCTTTTTCTTTCTGGAAAAGACTTTGGAGCTGCTTGATTTCTTGATCATAGTCCTGCCATTCTGGAACTATACGCATTGCTGCTTGCAACTTGGGCTCTTTGGTCATTGGGTTATTACACTGCAAACAAAACAAAAGAACTGTTCAGATACTTAATATGTAAAAAAGGTTCATGTACTGAACAGAGGTATGCTTCCCCCTGGTGGAATCCCTCTGTTGTTGATGAACCATACATGCCTGTGTTCAGCTGGAGTAGTGTAAAGTCTCTTTCCAAATTCACAATAATGCCACTGCTCCAGGTAAGAGAAATATAGAAAGTAAAGGGAAAAAAAACCATGAAGTACTGAAAACATTTAGGTAACAATGGAGGTGCCTGGGTCTGAGGTGGGGAAAGTGCCTCTAAAATTGGTCATCGTTATTTTGTTGTGACGTAAGACTGAGGGAGCCATACTGCACTTACCAGATCAATGGTTTTTGCTCTCTTCTTTGAGGAATCATCACACCATGTTTCACACCACAGCCACTCCTGTGGCAATGATTTAATTGGTACCTGGTGGATCATGTTGTTAGGCAAATCCTGGTGTAAAGAATACAAGTTAGTAACAGTGTGCGCAGGGTGCAGTGTGGGAGGAACAACCTCCAACCAGATACTATGGGGAAGTTTAACTTTTGTAAAGAGTGATTTATTTATTTTTTTTATTATTTTTTTCCCCCCGTGCAAATGAAAAGTGGTGAATCAACATTCCATTCCATTCCAAACAGTCCTTGGGTAAAAAACTACAACTGTTAATCTTACTTTGTTGAAAATCAGTTATTTAGCAAACAGTATTAAAGCAGGAATATCAGTCTAGTGTCAAACCTGTACTGGACCAGTTTGGAAGACAGTTCCTAATTGATTAAAACCACTGTGTTATTTTTATCATCTACCACAGTATAAGCCTTATTTTAGTGTTAAGTCAGTGCATAGTAACGTAGTTGTAGCCGGGTAGCTCAAGAAACAAAGCCAGTTGTGTTATGTATTTGTCTTGAAGTACACTGGAAAATTTGATAGTCTTAGGACATTTAAGGGGAAGGTGTTGTTTCCACCCAGTAGTTATGTTTGATGCTATCAGTAACTGCCACTGGCATCTGGCTGTGATTGAAGTTTGGCCAGGAAAGGAGAGGTCCCAATCTGCCATTATACCCCATAAAGCAACACAAACCCAATAAAAACACACCTGATCGAGGTTGGACAGACTGTTAGGATCCTGACTAAGACCCTGATACTGTCCTCTGAGTCGATCTCCAGCTGCTATCTTTCTGAACTTCTTCAGATCCACAACATACAGAGCACTACATGGAGATGATGCAATTAGTAATGACAGTTGACTGATGAGTAACTTACTGCAGCCCCAGTAAACCCCAAGATACAGTATGCTAAAACAATCTCTTGGTAGCAGTACATCAAATTATCTAAGACAAGGCAGGAAAGCAGTTCTAACAAGGTCATGGCACGTACAAAAAAAATTCCAACAAATCTATCTTAGCTTTGCTGTCATGCAGTCCCTTCTTCCAACATTTGTTATTAACAAATGAAGATGTCTGGTTAGTTAACACTTCAGTTCTTCATCTGTAAAAGTGGTAGCATACTGAAAGTGACTTCAGTGCCCCTAGTGCTTCAAATGGACCATAGGCAAAGGAACCTTGAAGAGGCAACAGTAAGCAACAAGTGGTTCACTGTAGCGTTGTTTTCACCTCAGCTAGTTTTCTGCTAGTTCTAAGCAGTAGCAAAAGCTTCCCCCCCGCCTCTATTTGGTAAAAACTGAATTCTTCAGTACCTGATGTGGTATTTTCTTCCAGCTAAATGACTTGCCCAGTATCCCGATTTCCAGAACCTATAGCCATCCATTTCTCTTCGACTGTCACAGAATGGAGTATATCCATAAGGAGCACCATCTAGATTGAAATCCCGTAATTCCTTTAAATCTGTGCGCACAATCTGAAGGGTAAAGGACATTTTATTTAGAAGGTAGAAGCCAATCACAAGTTAGTTTGAAATGCTGGTCAGGACTTAATTCAAACTGAGCAAACAGTTAAAGGAAGAATTACCTATTATACTCTGCAGTCTTTTGCATTGTGTATACGTAGTACAGAAACAGCACAAAAGGTGTTTAAAGCTGCCCTTACAGTTGGAGAAACTAAAATAGAGCTTAAAATAAACTGACAGGTTAGTTTGACAACTAGAGTGCCAAATTATTGCTTAATAACCAGCAAGAATTCTCACTATACATGAACTCCACTGTGATCCTTTGTATCCTTTACTCTTGAAAAAAGTTTGCAAACCCTCAAGGGATGAAGGCTTTTTTGTGTCTTTTTGACACAGATGATGTGACAGTAACACTACTTTAAAAATACCACTCCGGTGGGAAAAAAATGCATTAATATCTCTTCTATAAACACAGCAAAAAGTGTCTAAAATGAAAACAGCATAGATGAAAATTTATCCTAGGTGATACTTCAGTGTAAGTTGCAATGGTTTTAACTGACATGAGATCACACTGTACATTTGTCAAGACACCTAAGGCATTTTATACTTAGGTGTTGATAATCTGTACTTCTCAGTTTCATGTATCTTTCTGAAGGAGTATTTTTGGCAGCTCTCATGCACATGTATCCTGTACTTTCAAACCGTGCAGGCAGTAAGCACAGATAAAGCCTTACACACACCATTTGCTTTGCAGCAGAATACAGCTTCATGCACAGGGGATTTGCCTTCTCACTCCTCTGAAAGCCACCCAAGTCTGGCCAAATGGAAAGCAGGGGGGTGGGACTGTGTTTGGTAACTTAGGAAAATACTGTATGTGGTAAGTGAGCTGCAGGCTGGGAGAACAGTCACAACTGGAAAAATGGAAGGGTGAAACAAGAATCTATTTGGCAAACTAGCTGGAATCACAGTGAGTGAATGAGGACCCAGACAAAAGAAAAGGACAGGCCAACAAAACCAATCTTTCTGGGAACAGGCAGGAAAACCAACGTTCACTGAAGTATACTATAGTTACAGAATCAACCTTCAATCGTGCCTGCGAAGGGCTCTAACTTGCAACCTTTCCAATAACAGAAATTGTACTCAAGAACATACTGTTCTTAGAGAAAAAAGAAAGTATGAAGTAATTCCAACCTCTGTGTTACCTGATCAGCATCCACAAACAGGATTTTATCAACAGCTAATGGGAAGAGCACATCTAGAAAGAGGATCTTGTAACCCCAGATGATACGCTGCTTCTCTGTTTGCTGATGAAGCCAGCGTGGCCATTTATACTGGACAAGCTCATACTGGAAATTATACTTCTTTGCCATGTATGGGATGAACTCCTGCAGAGGGAGGGGGGAAAAAAGTAGCTTATCTCAGTTCTTTGTTCCTCTGCAGGAAAAAGAAAAGTGCATTACAAGAGATAGACTTCTGTCTTATAAGTAAGGCATAGAACATTAGAAAATGAAATACCGTGAAGAGAAACTACAGTTTCATTGTTACTTCAAACAAAGAAATAACCTCAAAGTGAAGAATCGGTACAAATTTTAAAGCCAACTACCAGCAGACAATGAAATATTTTGGCATTCTGCCCCACACAATTACTTATGAGCCATTTTATAGTGATCCACAGATCAGTTTAAAAGAATGCATTACTCAAATCATAAAATTTCACAGATGGGAAAACTGTTATTTAGGGCTGTACAAAGCTGTGTAAATGGGAATAATAAAACGAGAGAAAATAATTGGGAGAAATTCTTTATTAGAACTGGGCTCACGGTCAAAGCAATTAACGTTCTCATCTGGAAGGCTTCCTCTGACACTGGGAGAGTACAGGTTTAGCCAAGGGATGCTGGCACAACATAGCCATTAGGAAGGGAGGAGGGCAGTGTTTCGTTGCACCACTGCAAGAGGTGACTGACAACAGCAGTCACAGCGCAGCCCATGGTTGAAGCAGTGGGGACATTGCTAATTACTTCATCTTGAATTCATGATGAACATGTGAGATTCTCTCAGAAATGCTATTTCCTAATATTGCAAGTTGCAATCTCTTAACATTCATTTACCTATGCTTTCTATTTTGAATCCTGCTGCTTGTTTTATGTCTCACATACAATCCCTAAGTATTTTGGGGTGTATTCACCTAGGGCCTGCATCATTCTCTACCACACACCACTCACATAGTCTTGTCAGCCTGAAACATGGTTATAATGTCTTCTCTTACAGAGCTGCCTCCACACCTGGTCACAGGCATTGCTTTGATAGTAGGTTTTTTTTCCTACAATCTTCCAGCCCTTATGTATTAGATGTAAGTTTATAGCCCCGAATTTCATCTTAAAATCTACACCTTTATTGTGTGAGTCACAAAAAATAGTTCAGATTCTTTCAAGTAAGATTTTCCTAATATGTGCTCTTCTCTTAAATATTTACCTGCAGCATGAATCTACTGTCAACCTGTCTGTCATTTCTCACAGCTTTCTAAATAGAGTTGCCAGCTTACACCAACTTGATTCTTCATCAAAATAGAAGGTATACAGGCAGGTAACTGTACATGTGTTTACGCAATAGTATGTTGCAGAGGTTGCAACTTAAAAACTAAAAGCTTTTCCTCACCACAGAATAAATTTCTAATGAGTTACAAACCTTGAATGTAGGTGATAAGTAGTTCTTCAGAAACCAAAACTTTAAAGGGGTCTTGGTGTGCTTCAGCACAGACAACATCATTATGCTGTCAAAAGAAAAAAAAAATAAAGCATTTACAGGAATAACTACTAGATATCAGCTGTGTAAGAGATTATATACTGCTGGTTTACTAGACTGAGTTATGTGACAGGTAACCTGATCTTCACACATGAAGAAAGAGTGGGTAGCTTCAGCCTGTTGCAGACTGCTTAATTTTATCTACAGAATAACTAAACCTCCCACAATCTTTTTACTTTAATGAGTCAAAGAATATGCAGCATGTTGGCTTTCACAGTCCTCTGAGAACAGAAGTTCTTCTCCAAAGCAACTATGACTTATTCTGTAATATCTTAACAATACATTTGAATTTTGTTATACTGTAGTGAGAAAATGTAGGACAGCGACAATGCCGTCTATTAAACTAAGTCTGGTTTGAATGTATGAATGTTATGCAGAATCTAGAGGACTTCTGAGCTGCTCAGGAAGTTTTGGGGCTTTTTTATATTCTTGCAAATTCTAACCTTTCTTCTGTGGAAATCAGGGTACATTACCATTAGAGACCGTAGGACTCACCGTAGGAATCTTTCATACAGGTGTCCTGAAGCCACAGAGAATATGTTTAGTACATCGTCTTTATCCTGTTTCACATCTTCATTCTTTTGTCCTCCTGTGAATCCCCTGAAAGGGTAAATGAATTTATATAAAGGACAAGATAGTAAGGGACAGCTATATAGCAAAGAGTGCAACCGATGATGAATTGCTACAACGCTGGTTTAATATAGTACAATTGCACAGTTTGGTGTCGTCCCCCCATGCTGGTCAGGCTGTCCTCCACAAGGCAGAGTACTGCAGACACAGATGTGGAAGACTCAGTGGCATATCTATGAACACTTGCTCAATGGCAGGATTGCTGGCAGAGATGCAGCTCCTGGAAATGAATGATGTTCACAGGCTCCCAGGTAGCGGTGGCGATAAGGGAAGGCAAGCAGGTACAAAGCAACAGCCCTGGTCTCTAGCAGCAGAGGGGTCCTATAACAGCCCTAAATTCAAGCAGTCTTAATAGACAGCTATGGAATATCACAGATCTAACTGTATCATCAAATAGTTTTCCAGTTTCAAGAGAGTTTCAGGTTATTACTGAATTCGTTTTACCATTTGAGGGATTCCCAAAATCCAGATTCATTCTCACTGGTACCATCACTTAGTAGATCTTCATTCATCATATCCAGTTTTTTCTGAACCTGTAAAGCATAATGTTGCTTTAATGACTGGAACCACAAATGGTAAACAGACATGGAGAGTGTTATTTTGATACTGGCTCTGTATCCATCTGAATTCTGCCTAGTGAGCTGACAGGTAACCTAACCTGCCTGGAGAATCAGATCAGGAAACTGACATTTTCAGAACAGATGCCAAAGCTGTTTTCAGACACCAAAGGCATGTTAGTTTAGACGGTTAAAATGCTTTGTTAAGAGGTTCTTGGTGATGGAGACTGGCAAAGAAAAAACCTCAAAGAAACCAACAAATACTCCCCCCCTTACGTTTCTAAGTGGTATTACTGGCTACTGAGCCAGGTGTATGATAACCGTGACTTATCTATTGGTTGTCCTCCTTAATCTTTTCAGCTCTTTCTATCTGCTGGGCAATCCTAAGAGACAGACAGATTACGAATTTACCTTTTAAATTTACCTTTTATTTTTTTTATATATATACACTGTATTCTCTCTACTTTTTTTTTTTTTTTTTTTTTTTTTTTAAATAGTTATATATACACCTTTTTTTTTCTTTTTTTTTTTTTTTTTTTTTTTTTTTTTAAATAGTGTATTGCCAGATGAGTACAATTTACCTGTAACAGATATATATATACTGGCTCAGTAGATACACTGAATGTTTATTACCAGATATATATAGGACATAAAAAAAATTACTTTTTTCTGAGGCCACAAGCGTAACAGAGTCAGTAAAACATGAGCATAATTGTTTCTCATGGGCATACAAATGCAACAGCAGCTACATGTCATTCCCTCTTTTGTCAAAAAACCAAAACCATGTCTCCAGATAATTCTCTTATTTTTGATACTGTGATGTGAATGTTGTGTAAACTGCCTTAAGTGCATGTTTGTAGGAAGAGATCATCAGGCCTTAATCAAAGTTTCTTTCCCACTACTGGTCAAACAATCTTTTTTAAGAGAAAATCCAGGTTTTTTAACTCACCTTCACTTTAATAATTTTGCTTTTGAAGTTGTTGAGAACAACACTAACGTCACTAGCTTCAGGTGGAGAGTCTGTGCCATCATGGCTGAAAGTAAAGGAAAATATTGACCTTTACTACAATGCAGAAATGTGTTCTTTATTTCTTCTACACATTTTTCTATGTGGTTTTAAGCCTTAGCGTTGTAAAACATGTTTGAGATGCGTAACAAATACATGTATTTGAACATGTACTTCCTGGGTTTTTTTTAAATGATTTAATTTCATTCATCTCACATAAGTTATGTTTAGTACAAAATGTAACTTACTGTTCAGTTCACTACACTGTGGCAAGGGAACTATTAAATTCATATCATATTACAATGCCTGTCTAGTTCAGAAGTTTCACAAGAGGAAGATTTAAGTATTTCTTATACTGTCCTACCTGTAGATCCTGTAGATATCCTCAGATCTGCCCTTTCTCAGTCTTAGAGTCCATGCACCAGGATTGGCTTTTAACTGAAAGTAGCCCTATAAAGCAAAAAGAGTATTTGTCAGTTTCCAGAAAAAGCAAATGTAGAAAACTGAGTTTTTAAGTCATGTATTTTGACCCACTGTTTTAAATGTGGAAATAGTTATTTGTAAGCCAGCTGATTAACATAACCTTAAGACATTAAAACCTTTGAAAATCCTTAAAAACAGGAGGAAAACCCCAGAAGTTCTATTCAAAATCCTTGTTTTTTCCATCAGAGAGAGGCATATGAAAAGTCCAGCATTATCTGATAGATGAAAGTCTTCAGTGGATTCTGATGGGAACAGCGCAAGCTTTTTTCCACAAAAGCTTGCCTTCATGAGGGAGTGGACACTTGTTGCACTGCAGTGCATGAAAGGTCTGCCTACAAAACTAAATCTAAATGGTTTTTGAGGCTCTACAGACTGGTATTTCATCTACTGCAGGAAACAGTAACATAATTCATATGTTACAGTTATCTTTTCTACAGAACTTCAGAAGTTACAATGTGAAGTTCAGATTTTGTATACAATCGTGTTTCAGGTTCCAGATCTGAATGTTTTATCTGTGATTTCGACTATTGCATCTATAGAAGATACAAACATTTGTAGTGATGCTTCTGTGTCCCATCCAGTTTTGTATTGTGCATGCAATTCCAGGAACCACTCTGGTTCCTGGAAGTTCTGCTTTAAAAAGAAAAAATATAGTAATAAAATTATAAAGTAGTAAAAAAAAGTCCAGGGTATGTTTGTGGTCTCTTCATACCCCTTCACAGTACAGACACTGAGCTGAGGAAGAGGATTCCCAGACACGGTGTTGTATATTGTGGTAGATATGCTTTGGTTTAAATAATTAGAAAAAAGACTCCTCTAAGCCATTAAGCTTTACTCCTGAACATACGGTGTGATCACACAGAAGAGTCATCTTCCTTTCTAAAGTAGGAAATATTACATCACTATAGGATACGTTTTGGCTAAGAAACAGCACAGAGAACTAGAGAAAGAGTAGGTATTTTAAAATATTTAGCATTGATAAGCATTTTTTCCTTGTTTTTTAATACATTTAAAGATTCAAAAATAACAGTAAACCCCCCCACAAAAGGCAGTTTACTTCAGTTTTTCCACTAACATTACATATCAAGAATATATTCCAGTGGCTAACTTTCCTTGCCATAACTTCAGTTCATTACCTCTCTCATTGCACAGTGCAGACACTGAAACCAGACTGATCCCTTATACAGCTGCATTACAATGGCAGCTGTAGGGAACAATCATACGCTTGGATTTCCATTACATTTCCTCAATTAAACAAAGCGATTCCCATTCTTTCACACTTTTTTATTTTCTAGAATGTCAACTATTCTCACTGACTCTCTCCATTTGTTCCATAGCTTTGCTGAAGAAATAGGTTCCAAAACAAGACAGCAGACCACTTGAGGCTTACAGTACCAGAGTGGATGGTCTGAGGAGTACCCTGTCTAGAAAAACCCAGAACTCTCTGACCTTCCCTGGAAAGAGGTTGCTAAAGAATATTGGCATCCTTCTAAGATACTCCAGAAGATTCTTCTTGGCAAGCTGCAGGGAAAGGAGTACATCTTGAAAAAGGTAAGAAACAAATAAATAAGTACAATGCAAGGTTTTACACGTCAGTGTTGGGAATGATGTGTTTCCGATATATTTACGGGCAACTGTGGAATATAAGTAACACTACATTTCCATAACCCACTTATACTAGAAAATACTTAATAGTTTATGCAAGTGATTTTGCTGACTTGTGGACCAGTTATTTGCGGCCAGTTTCAACTGAATGCTTACCAAGTTGGCCATAACAATGGTATCGACAATGACAGGAGTGGTTGAAGTTCCCAGTGTAAACTGGAGTCCCCGAGGGGGCTGTCCAGTAGTAATATCATAGCAGTGTCCTTCCAGAAGCAGATACTCCAATTCATACTCTGCAGCTACAACATTATCCACCTGTCAGGAAAAGATACTGCTGAATTCAGCATAGCTCAAAAGTGCAAATCTTTAGTGATTCAGTTACTCTTTAGAATAGCCACAGGAAGTAAGTAACACTTTATTTTTCCAGCATAATTCTATTAAACAAATACCTAAAAAGCCTCAAAGAACTCAGCTCCTTCAAGTGACAAACTTCACACACACATTAAGTGTGTCCCTGACCAAAAAGAGTTGAATCTCAACTGGTAAGATGCTAGGGTAAGAAAAGAGAAGGACTGTTGCTCTGTTTTACTGTTTATATTTTAAATATTTATTGGAGAAGGTAGTCAAGTGAGCGATTGGTCTGGCATCTCATAAAAAGTTATGATGGGCTCCAGGACTTTGAATCTAAACCTGTTTAAAGCTAGTCTCATCTAGTATTTATCATCTGAAATAAACATTTGTTTTGCACTGCATTACTCTTTACAGAGTGCCACGGTACTCTCAGAAACACCAATTCCTTTTTTCCCACATGAAAAAAGTGCCAAGAAAAGTAAAGAAAAAGCAAAAAAAGAATCACAAGCCAGCTTGGGTCCCTAACAGGCTAAAATCAGGTGCAGCCTGAGGCCACTACATAACCAAAACAGTAGTCTGATTTCAAAAAGCATCTTCTCCCGTTGCACATCCAAAATGACAGTTTAATTGCTACAGCACCAACAGACTGCATATTAGGAATTAGAAACTGTGCACCTGCAAAAGTAAAGCTACTGTTTATGTGGAGGTTTTGGATGGTGCTTCGAATGCCTGAAGCATTTAATCCCCCTCTCTCTCATTTCAGTTAATCTAGGACAGGGCATGGGAGTCAGGCTTGAAACACGTAGTAGTATCAGCTATTTGTGGTTCATTTATGGCTGTACCGTTAGGTTAAGAGATGAAAAGCAAAAAATAAAAACCTAAACCCAAACAAAACTAAACAAGGAAAACAAATTACACATGAACAAACACCTGATACCCTAAATTTTAGAATTAACTAGTACAGGATTAGTAATATCAGACTGTACTACTATACTGCATCATATTCCCAAACGATACCAGAGAGATGCAAAAGTAAGAGGAAACTAATAATATAATGTTGACTGAGAAAGTAATGCACGTTTGTAGTGACCACAAGGTTGTACAGACTGTTGCTTTTCAAGAGGCCAGTTTTAAGGGGTTTGACAATCTCACCACACATGCAGCAGATACAGGTTTCTGAACTGCAGAGTCACCCATGCAGCCAGGGCCCATCTTGGCAGACAAAGCCCAGGGCTGGCTGGTTTGGGAGCCTGAACTTGCCTCTAACCTCTAGAGCTGGTTCCTCCAGGTCAGGGTTGAGGCATACT